TACTACTACTACTACTAACTATACTCATTACTGCTACTACTACTACTACTACTACTGCGGCTACGACTACGACTACGACTACTACTACTACTACTACTACGACGACTACTACTACTACTACTTCCACTACCACTACTAATACTACGACTACTACGATTACTATCACTACTACTACTACTGCTACTACTATACTCACTACTACTACTACGACTACTACTACTACTACTATACGCGCTACTACTACTACTACGACTACTACTACTACTACTACTACTGCTACTACTACTACTACTACTTCTACTACTTCTACTAGTACATCTTCTACCCCTACTACTGCCACGACGACCGCTACTACGATCACTACGACTACTACGTTTACGGCGTCATTTAATATTGTTGCTGCTACTGCTGCTACTACTACTACTACCTCTACTACCACTGCTGCGACATCTACAGCTACCCCTGCTATCATTATCACCATGACTACGATTACGAACACTGGTGCCAATAATGATACGATGACCACCATTTTACTGGCATGCAGATTATTATTTCTTTTGCTGCGGCGACGACTACTACTTCTAGTATTGCTACTGCGATTATTACCATTACCGCTACTCTGGCCACTCCTGCCACTAGTATGATGACCACTACTAGTACGACGACTACGTCTATGTCCACGATTGCGGCTACGACTTCCTTGCTTTCACGAGCGCTCTTGCTCCACTTACTGGTATTGTTATTGCGTCTACTCTTGCCCTTACCGCTGCCACGACTACCAACACTGTTGCCGCCGCTCGTATTATTATCACTAGTGCTATCAGACTAAGAAGTACTGCTGTCACAACTTCTTATAGCACTATGGTCGCCATTGTACGTATTATTTCTTGTGTTAGTACAGCTACGACGACTTGTACCACTATTACAATAACCACGGCGACGACGAGTATGACTATTCGTACGAATACGGCGGCTACTGCCACGATTTCTTTAAAGAATCGTTCGCCAACGACTACCACCACTACTACTGCTAAGTATCAACCGTTAGCTACACATGGCTACCAACTATTTACTATCACTGGTTTTTATTCTGACTACTGCGGCCGCTACGGCGACGGTTACTACTACTACTACTACTACTACTACTCGTGCTGCTACGGGTACTACGATTCATACCGCTGTTGCTACGACTACTACCAGTACTTCCAAGACCAGTTTTAACATTATGGCGACTACGACGACGGCGACCACCATCGCTATTTTTTATTACAAGTGCGACTACTATGGTGACCGAGATTGTAGTTATTGCTGTTCTTATTCTGCCACTACCACTAAAGGTACCACTACCACGACCACTATTAGTATAACTGCGACTGCTACGGTTGTTAGTACAATCGCTACGATTTCGAGCACTAATACTTTTACTACTACTGCTACTACCACTGCCACTACTAGTGCGACTGGCACTACTACGGCTACTACGACGATTATTACTACTATCACCACGACTATTGCTACTACTATTACTACTACTGCTACTACTACTACTACGACTACTACTACTACGCCTTCTACTGCTACTATTGCGACTACTACTACTACTACTACGACCGTTTGTACTATGTCGACGACGACGACTACTATTACTATTTTGACTACGGTTCGTATGACTACTACTACGACTACTGCTACTACTAGTAATCAGCATACTCGTACTACGTCAACCACGCTGACTACCACTACTACTACTACTACTACCACTACCAGTACCACTCCTACTACTTCTACGACCACCACTACCAGCCCACTAACGCAATTCTTACTACATCTACTGCTACTACTGCTGCTGCTGCAACTACTACTACTACTACTGCTACTACTACTACTACTACTACTACTACTACTACTACGACTACTACGACTACTACCGCTACCACCACCACTACTACTACTACGACTACTGCTACTACTACTACTACGACTACAACTACTACTATTATTATTTTTTATCACTTCTTTATTATTATTATTACTACTACTACTACTCTTACTTCTTCTACTTATACGACTACTACTACTACAGCTACTACTTCTATTTCTTCTTCTACTACTACTACGACTACTAGTACTACTACTACAACGACTGCCGTCGCCACGCGCAGTTTCTAAATTAATCGGGCTCGCTGGGCTGTTTTCGCGTCTTCTTGGCCAACGTCATCCAGGCCGAGCTCGGCATCTGCTTTCCCTGACAGGATGCGCACCTAGGGTTTCGGCAGAAGGTCGCGACAGCCTGGAGTCTCTCGCTAGACGACTTCGCGGAGCTGCACGGGAGGATCGAAGACTCGCTCACCCAGGTCTCGCGCCTGGTAACGAACGCGCATCACCACGATGCGACGAGGGCTGCATGGTGCCCACAGTCCTGGAGGGACGTGGAGAAGGCCGACTTCAAGCTCAAGGCTCCAATGATCGTCTTGGAAAAGATCGTGCCCGCGGCCAAGCT